GTGTGTGAGCATGACAGGGATCTCAGGCTATTTTTAAGAGAGGGTAACATGATCGGATAACATGACCCTATTATGTAATCAGCCTTAAGCGATCCCCTTAAAAATGGCCTGAGCTCGCTGAGGTAATTGAGCAGTCGATATGATCAGGCTATGATCATGTGACAGGGCGCCAGCCTGGCTATGCTGATTAAGCCTTTGCGCACTGACATGTAAAGATATACGTACCACCGTACGCTTCTAGCTCTCTAGTACTGCCAAATATCATAATTTGTACCCTACCTTCCCTATCGGTTGAATAGTCAATCCAATTAATTGACGATTCAGAATCTGATATATTAAAGATAGCTGCATCTACCAGACGTCAAGCATAGAGATCACGACCTGGGGATCGAAAGGCACTAAGCCAGCTCCATGAAACCCATCCTGAGCGTTTTGACATGTTATTGATTCCTTGTATGCTGCTACAAAGGCCAGGAGGAACCCGACCCTCGTGATATGGCTAACATTAGCCCTGATAAGCATCTCAATTTGCCGACCGTACGCTCGTTTCAACACTAAAACACCCGACATCAAATGGCTGGGTAAGATGGGACGAATGGGGATGTAGTCAAAGATTAATGATGTTATGTGCCTTAAGTATTCTTGGAATCCGGCCGGTTTTGTAACCGCAGTTACCACACCTCCCGGGAACTCAGTGGTAGCAGGCATGTGACAGGTAGGCAGTTGTGACGCAGGTATTGCGATACAGGAGTGATGGGGATTCCTATAGCACCATGCTCCTTCCCGCTCTGATCTTTTTCTCTTCACCTTTATGTTTCCATCCTGATAGCCTGTTAGGGTAGACGAATCTATACTTGCACTGCATCTTTACCCCTCTGCTTCGTTCTTCTCCCTAGTGCCATTACACATTTGTGACTTTCGTGCCCATCGAGGACTAGAATTCGGTACGGACCCTTTGCTCGGGTGTTGGTATGTTTGTCGAAGTGTTCTAACCATTCCGGACCCGTCTCATTGTTTGTCCATCTATTGCTTGTAGGTTCAACGACCCAGCTGTCGTCGAGGCCGCCCTTAGTATACCCATTCGAAATATTGTTCTTCCCTTAAACAACCAAAGATTGAAGGGCATTCCAGCACTACTATCTATACAAGCAATCGCCGTAGCACATTCCCGGTTGCCTGGCTGAACTGCACTGCCTCTACTATATCAATATGCGCGTGTAACAGCCTTGCAGGGCAGTTTGTGCCCAAACCCATTTCGTCAAAATTGCTAAAAAGTTCGTAAACGCGATTAAAATGTGTCTGGTTGTCGTTGTATAAGTTGTTTTGTCCATTGAGTTACAATGCATTGCCCTCGCGATCCTAGAATCAATTCATCATATCTCTACACCAGCGAGTCGGGGTGCAAATCCTCTTGAATCCAGGTCTAAGTATACTCCGAACAATCACTTCCTCCTCTAATATGGACAATTAAATATTTCCTGGCCGGCGCCCAGGGAGGGGAAGATGTCCGTGCATTCTTCGACGAAGTGTGGATCCAGGAACCTTCATAGTTGTTTGCAGCAGAACGAAGACTAACCTAACCATTTGGACGACTGAATAGCCTTGATTGCTAAGACGATTCGAGCTTCTTGAGTTGAGGTTTCCAATAGTAGTTAAGATGGCGCGTGCTGGAGTTTTAGGTAGAAAGCCAAAGAAAAGTGCCCGGTGTCTTGTACAATCAAGTTGTTGAAAACAACAAAAAAACAAAAAATCGAGTATACTAAGAAGCAGAATCTGCCCACTCACGGAATCGAACCGTGGATCTTCTCATTTCACCGTACGTATTGATACGAGTGAGACGCCTATACATTATTAATTCGAGACCTTTAACAGAGCGGAATTGTTCTTAACGTACATTACCACTGTGCCAAGCGGGCGGGCCATTTTCCTGGTATTAAGTTATGATCTGGCACGATGGTCGACAATATATAACAGCTAAAAAAGAAGCCGAGGATGAAATACAGAAATACCTTGATCAGCCCCCGATACTTAGGACGGACTTGAAGAGTTCAAAACATGTTAGTTTGTTAAACGTTCTATCAACCGATACGGAATATAGGGTACAAATCATAATATTTGGTAGTACTAGAGAATTAGAAGCGTACGCTGATTCGGTAGCTATTTACATGTTGACTTATAAACAGTGGTTATCCACTTTATCCCAAATGTGACAATTTGTACATGTTCCATCTCTAATTCTAGAGTATAATTAAAAGCTTTAGTCTAAATGCCATACCGCTTGTTCAGAGGAACACTACATCGGCTCCACCACTTGCTCTGCCACAAACTGATCGCAAACATCGCGGGCCAGTACCCAGTATACTGCCACCAAGCCGGCCATGGATCCCACACCTCGAACGTCCCATCATGCCAATAGATGAGATGTTCCGCGAACTCCAGCCAGTTCTCTAGCACGTCCCAGATCGTGACTTTCCACCTTACGAATTGCAGTATGGGAATAACAACCATGGTGATGAAGTCGCTGCCGATCCAGTAGTATCCTGGGGTGTTGGGTGAGGGGATAACACGGTCCTCTGAGAGATGGCCCGTTGATACGCCTTTCGGCTCATGTTCGTCGAGGACAGAAAGGTATGTTTCAGCGAGGTCTTCTGAAACTTCCGCGAAGAGTATCCCGGCTGTGTTTGGACGCGGGTTGCATTCAATGGGATAGATGACGCTCATTAGATCCCTCACTTCATTCGGTGAAGCGCCGATCTTCAACTCCGCAATGCGTGCGATCTGGTCATCGACTAGGAAATCAAGCGAGAAGTGGCCAGCACCCGAGACCAGCATCTTCTGGGCGTAAAGTGTGGTGTAGCGCAGCATAGCCTGCGAGAGTGCCGACGAAGCTGGTAAGGCATTATAGTGAAGCAGCAGCTCGGCGGAAGGAAGGGCGACGAAAGCTTTTACCTTGCCGTTGATGATGAGACTGTGCGTGCAGTATTCTGGGCCTGCGATGTACTGCTGTAGCACAAACGGCCGGAACGGCGTTGGTCCTACGGCCTTGATATGCTGTGCAGTTTCGTATCGACTAGTCATTGGTAAGAGTGTCATGTCCGTCCGGACGCTTTCGTCCCAGCCTACACTCTTCAAGATGTACTGATTCTCTCTCGTTGATCGCGGTTTCTCGGGGTATAGAACAGCCATGGCCTCTGCTTCTGATGTAACAAGATGCGTATGCGGTACATTGAGTCCCATCTCCCGTGTAGTCCCAATGAAAGAGTGTTTGTCGTGCAGCGTCTCCGTGGGTGTCAAGCCGAATTGAATCGCTTTGCAGGACGTCTCCTTCTCAACAATCTCGGCAGCCTCCCCATCTTCCAGCACAGATGCGTTGCCGGACACGCTGACCCACAGCTCTATCTTCTCTTCCTCTATGATGTGCTTCATCTGCTCAATGTATTGAGGGCCACCTTGTGCCTTTGGCTTCATAAGCCGGTAGAACTTCTCGATAGAGGTCGAGAAACGTCCACATACTGGGACTCGATAAGGTTCGAAGTCGGCTCCTATGACTTTGTGACCAGCGCGGTAAAACGTTCGTGCCAGAGTAAGGCCTTTGCTCATACCCACTCCCGTAATCAGCACTCTGCGAGGGCGAAAAGTAGAGCTCGAAATCGTCCGCCATTTTCGATGCTGCTGAATATGCTTCGTCTCATTTGTATAGGGTGACAGGATCCAGCTGGCGAAGGCGATTGCTGTGAAATATGGCGCGCAAAATGCGCAGAGCAGAATCAGGGAAAGGTTGGCCAGGACATGTTGGTAGGTTGGAGTGGTGGCGGTGAGCATCGATGATTGTCAGCCTTCTGCAGGTGGTTTTCTCAGGGTTCACGAGCCGGGCATAGTAGATTGTAATGCTCTTCGTTCTGCATATAGGTATTTGGGAGTGAATAGGAGAGTTATTCAAGTGTGGCAATTCAGGTGAGTAAGTAAATTAGGTAGCACAATATTTATTGAGAATAGAAATGGGGAGCTGGATCTCGAAAAGTCCAGTTTTCGAGGTTACTTTACACGTCACTTCACATGCAAATGCGCTTGCCTGAATTTCACTATCTAACGATCGACTTTGCTCGGCTTGGATTGTTTACAATCAGACCACGTTTTTGTCACCCACAGCCACGCCAACCTCAAGACATGCGTTTCCGTTTTCTAGAAGTAGTTAATCCCACCACCATATACTCCCCATGATTCTCAGTCTTCTGCTTCATTAACTCCCCATGGCTACCCACAGGATTGGCTCTAAATCCGCGAACAGACTGCTCAGGACGGCGTGAATCTCTCTTCTCCTCTGGAAGATTTGCACTATGATACGCTCAGTCTGCTGCGTGGGCAGACTTCTTGCCAAATGCGGGAGCAAGACAGTGCCAGCAGTATTCGCGGTTAGAGACTAGGCCTGTGTATCAGTCGCAACTTCTCTGGAGGGAGGGGAGCATACAGTGTATCTTATCACAGCTTTTACCTGTCTTCCACGATCTTGTCGACACGCGACTTACAGTCCGGGCACTTCTTCCTGCTCTCCTCGATCAAAATCTTAGAAGCTGCGTCCTGCTCTGTTCTTCCCAAATGAGCGTCATCATACCCCTCTCAACTTAATCCTTCATTCCAAGGCAGCTGATGGTGGACACAAGTCTTAATTGAGGTCACAAGAATCGCAGACCATAAGTGGCTTATCCTTACCGTCGCTTACGACCTGACCGGCAGAGCAATCTGGCGCTAAACACATGCTGAATCCAGGGGCCTGTTTCTACTTTGAGTACCCGAGCTGAGCCTTGGATTTCTTTGCTGAAGATGGACAGGCATAGGCATTTATCGCAGCTGTTCCGATATATCCGTTACATCCTGCTTCTGGGCAGACATGACGAAAAGCGTGTTTTGAAGACAGATTGATATCAAGGTATTTCCTGAGATACCGAGACACGCTGACGGCGGATGCTCGCACCAACGACTGAGTGTCCTTTTAGGAAGCTTAAAAACATCCAGATCGTTGGCGTGAATACCACATTCAACTACTATCTTATCATAAGCGCCTCTCTCCGCAGTAACGAAATTGTACAATACGTACGTTGACTGCAATGGATTGAGGAAGCGAGTTACCATTGGCAAAGTTGCAGGGCTGAGGCAGTCTGTATTGATGATGGGTTTCTCGACCTTAGGATATTGAATAAGATGGAGCCCTTGCACGAGTTTTCCCTAAACATCAACTTGTATTACCCCTTCAAGATCCAGACTTCGCTGCTTCTTACTGAGCTGTAGGATGGCTGGAACAGCCCCAGATTCAGGCTTCGATTTGAGATCCTTGCTCGGAGAAGTTTCAGACTTCATTTAAGGAGGGCATCGGGTGCGCTGTTAACATTCAATATACCAGATACTCTTTGAAGCGAGCTTACCATGCATTCAGACATAATGATATAGGCCCGCGTTAGAATGAGAGATGCAGTTCAACTGAAACCTAGACACAATGTAAGTTAGAGATTTTGATGCCAAAGAGGATGGTGTATGGAGATGGATAAATGCTGCAGGGCAGCTGTCGTTAAGTACTCGAGAAGATGGCGCTAGTGTAAGCTAAGTAGAGATTGAATACCTAGACGCAAAGTCGTGATATCAAAGGTGAATACACATGAGGCTCAGGTATTCAACTGGTATTCCTTCCAATCTCCTAAGCTTATTTAGTGATAGCGCCCACTTGAGTTTGAGAGCGAGAGATATGTGTTTTCCGTTTCCGGCTTGTTCCTGACCTTGATTACTTCCTCGAGCACGGCACTACATGGTAATCCAAGTAGTGGCACGGGGGTCAAGAGTCTGAAAATGAAGAGTACAGCACATGGGGGAAAGTCCACTTGACGTATGAAACTATAGAGAAATCTCGCCTGTAATATGTGGTTGTATATCTCAGACTACGGGAATGGCGCGTATATTCTGTTGATGTAGTAGTGATACCAGATATCTAAGTTGTCTTGCTTCTTGCGTCTGTTGAGCGCAATTTCCGTCTGAAAATGAGTCGCTTAAACTTATGTCGAGCCATCAGTAAGGTCAATCTAGCTAAAATTCCAGATTTGTAGGAAGATATAGAGTTCCCCATATGTATAAATGCCCAAAGGTTGTCTCAAAATCATCCCTAGCAACGCCATATCGTATGAACACAGATAGGATTGCGACTGTCGATGATGCGATCCATACATCTGACCACAGCAGTATACGGAGATGTAATATGATGTTGCGAGCTTGAGGTCGTGGTACCAATGCATGGTATCCACATATCTAGCCAACGAGATCTCTGACAGGAGTCTCTAGGATAGACGAACATCAAGCGTCGGAATCCGGAGCTTCCAACCACAACCTCTTGTCATTGCCTTCCAGCTTGCGACCATCAAATTCTCTGTTTCTAGGTGAAGCCGACAAGGTCCCTCTTGATTGTGGCTCACCAGCTTTAGGCATCACATAGTGCAGAAGATGGTTATCAATGATAGTATCTTTATGTGCGCCTTGCTTAGTCTTCTTTGTTGAGATGGCTGAATTATACTTCGTACGGGGTGTCCTTATCCCATGGAGCGAAGTAGTTATTCTGGATGTTCTCAATATCGTAGTCTCCGTAGTTGTACTCCATGGAAGCGTACATTCTGCAAAGTTGTGAGGTAATCTTGGATTTTATTTTGAGTATTTGTTGCGGGTTTAGCATCTTGTGGATCGCTTGGTTGACTAGATGGCGTGGAGATATTTTGAAAATTCTCAAAGCGTAGTTCCTGGTGGTAGCGTTCAGTCTGACTTCAGGTGTTGGTATTGCTGCTTCAACTTCCATAGATAGAACAGGGCTGGATTTGAAGATTCCAAGTATCTTTCTAGGGGAGATATTCTAGGCCTTTGCAGTTTGTCTTTAAAGCCTGCT